AAACTCCCTCCCTCTCCCCTACCCAAACTCCCTCCCTCTCCCCCAACCCAAACTCCTTCCCTCTCCCTCCTCTCTCCCTCCCACCCTTCCTCCCTTCTCCTCCTTCTTCCTCCCCCACCCCCCTATTTCTCCCTACACCCCCATTGCCTTCCCCCCCTCCCCCTCCCCCTTTTCTCCCCCCTACTTCCTCTTTCTTTCCCCTTCCCTTCCAACCCCACCCCCCACTGCTAATGAGTCACGACTCTTTGGACGCGAATCTCCGCCTGAATAAAGTTTAATTTCGTCTTTAAGAAAACTGCAGACGTGAACAATTACTTTGAGAAAATTTCCGTACGTACATGTGTGTGTGAGTGTGTGTGTGTGTGTGTGTGTGTGTGTGTGTGTGTGTGCGTGTGTGTGAAAGAGAGAGGGAAAGAGAGAGAGAGAGAAAGAGAGAGAGAGAGAGAGAGAGAGAGAGAGAGAGAGAGAGAGAGAGAGAGAGAGAGAGAGAGACAGACAGAGAGAGAGAGAGAGTGAGAGAGACAGAGACACGGAGGGGGGGTACGCATATGTGCGCACGGGTGCCTGGTGTGGTGTGTGTGTGTGTATTTGCGCTTGGGTCAGTGTTAGGTAGTTGTGTGTGTATTTGTGTGAATGGGTATACGAATGTGAGCTTTTGTGTGTCTATTTTGTTTGTGTATTTCCCTGCGTGTGCTTCTGCCCGTGATATTATATATGTGCGTATTTTTATTTCTTTATTCATATAACTATTTATTCATGTATTTGCATACTAACTTATTTATCTATTTACCTATCTGTCTATTGGTTTATTGATTCCTTTATTCATGCATTCATTCATTTGTCCCGTTGTTTCTTTGTTTATTTGATTAATCATATATTTATTTATCTGCTTATCAATTCATTTATGTATCTCTCTCTCTATCTACTTGTATGTTTATTTATTTATGTATTTACTAATTTTAAAATTTACTTATATAGACATTAATTTATTCATCTCTCTTGTTTTTACTCTTTGTCTTTTTCTTTGTCTTGAAACATTCGTTATAAGAGCAACTCTCAATATTACTTTCATTTTGCATAATCTTTTTCATATATTTCTTATCTTTACGTAGTCTGCTGATCCCTTTCTCCCCATTCCTGCTTCGTCTCAGTCACTCCTCTTTCTATTATTTTCGTTGTCTTTTTTTTTATCTTATTCCATCTTATTTTTTTATTTCGTCTCTTACTCTGCTGTCTCTGCCTTCCTCTTCACATTTTCTTCTTGTCCCGTTTTTTGCATCGTCGAGTTTATTTATCTTTCTAAACTCTTCTTTTCGATATTTTACTTTTTCTCCATCTTTCCCATGTTTTTTTTTCGTATTTTTTTCTTTCTCTTACTCTTTCCCTCTATCTTCCTCTTCCTCCTCCTTTTTTTTCTTTTTCTTTTATCATATCTCATTTCTTTTTGTTTCATCTCTCCCTTCCTGTTTCTCATTCGCATTTCTTTCCTTTCTCTCTTCTCTTCCTTCTCCTTGTGCCCTCTATTTCTCCCTTCGCTTTATATATATCACTCTCATCTCTCCATCTCTCTTTCTTAAGCCGTAGTTTTTTTTTCTTTCTTTTTTTTTAAATCTTGATTACTTGTATTGTTGTTGAGGTCACGTTGATTTCTTTCTCTGATAGTATTGCATTGTGTGTTTGTGTGCGTGAGAGAGAGAGAGAGAGAGAGAGAGAGAGAGAGAGAGAGAGAGAGAGAGAGAGAGAGAGAGAGAGAGAGAGAGAAATGAGAAAGAAGATTATTTATATGCATGAGTAGTTATGTGTGTGTAAGTACGTGCGTGTGTGTGAATGAGTGTGTGTGTGTGTGTGTGTGTGTGTGTGTGTGTGTGTGTGTGTGTGTGTGTGTGTGTGTGTGAATGTGTGTGTGTGTGAATGTGTGTGTGTGTGTGTGTGAATGTGTGTGTGTGTGTGTGTGTGTGTGTGTGTGTGTGTGTGTGTGTGTGTGTGTGTGTGTGTGTGTGTGTGTGTGTGTGTGTGTGTGTGTGTGTGTCTGTGTGTATGCGTATGTATATGTGTGTCTACCAAGGTGTGTGTTCATGGATGTAAATGTACTTGCGTTGGCTCATATTGTGTGTTTGTACATTTGTATGTAAGAATATGTGTACATCATCCACCCAGTAGTACTTTTATATAAACTATGATACATTACAAAACTAAAAACAATTATTTACAATCAAAATCTTTAGTAAGAAAAAAAAGTAATCTCTCCTTTCTACTTTATTTTAAAATTATCCTGTACAATTCTCCATCAGCGATCCCTATTTTTGAAATGTCAAACTTGTTATAAACTTGTTACAAACTTGTTATAAACTTGTTGCAACTCCATTGTGATGTTTTATAACTATGATATGCATTATGTATATAGCTTTAACATGCATTATTACGTACTCAAATTACACTGTGAATACACATGGTTTTTTAGCTGTATTAGGATGGCAGTATTATTATAACATTTTTTTTTATCCATTATGTATAGTTATTATTGCTTTTAAATGTGTTTATCAGAAGTTATGAGGTAGCTGTTTACTTCCGCGCAGAATTTATCCTGTATCTTATTATCCGTAAGGGAAAAAATAGAGCAGGAGAGTTATTCATCCGGAAACAGGATTGTGTCATAAAAAAAGTAAATCGAGAGATGATTATGTTAATCGAATGAAAATGAATTAAAGGATTTTTGCTTTTATTCGTTTTGTGTGTGTGTGTGTGTATACATACACACACACACACACACACACACACACACACACACACACACACACACACACACACACACACATATATATATATTATATATATATATATATATATATATATATATATATATATATATATATATATATGTGTGTGTGTGTGTGTGTGTGTGTGTGTGTGTGTGTGTGTGTGTGTGTGTGTGTGTGTGTGTGTGTGTGTGTGTGTGTGTGAGTGCATATATATATACATACACACACACATATGTATGTGTCTGTGTGTTTGGGTGCGTGCCATACACATGTAGGTGTATACATTCATGCAGATACACCACAGACACACCTAGCCCCCCCCCCAGCCCCTCCCCACACCCTCCACCTATCTCCCCCATTCACTCTACCCCCCCCCCCCCTCCATCCATGACCCTGATCCTCAACCAACCCCGTAACTCCTTTACCCCCCCTACTCCCCTCTCCCCCACCCCCTGCCCCCACCCCCGCCAGACACAGTGGCAATGTTGCAGCGACGCCTCTCCTGCTTCAGCTGAGTCATTGCAGGCCGTCCTGTGCAATAACGAGACGAAGGTCCTGTGTGTTGCAAAGAGGGATAGGGAGAAGGAGGATAAAATAGGGATAATGTAGAGAGAAAGAGAGGAAGAGTTGGAACGAGAATGAGAAAGTGAAATAGAGAATGAAAAGGAGGACGAAATATAAAACGAGAAAGAGAATGAAAATGATAAAGATAAAGAAGGAAAACATGATAAAAAAAAGAGATAGGATAAAAAAAAAGGAGAAAGGAAGAACCAGAAGAAAAGAGAGACAGAAGGAAGGAAGGAAATAGAAACAAAAATGAGAAAAAAATATATAGAATGAAAATGAGAATAAGAACAAGAAAAGGAAAAAAAGGATTAACGATGAGATAAGAGAGGGTGGGAGGGGGGGGAGGGGGTGGGGGAGGAGGAAGTAGAAGGGGGGGGGGAGAGAAGAGATTCCAAGGTGACCCCGAAGGAGGAGAATGGTGGTGGTGATGGTGATGATGAAGTGATAGTGATGAAAATGATGGTGATGATGATGATGGTGATAGCGCAAAAAGTGATGAAGATGAGAGTGATGTGGTGGCGGTGATTATTATGATAACGATGATGATGGTGATGATAATTATTATTATTATGATAGTGATGATTATAAAGTTGAAATTACAGTGAAAAAGAGGATGATGGTGATGACGTCCCAGCCTCAAGAATTTTACAGTGATAGTGTGATGAATATCTCAATAGCATACCACAGAAAAAAATCATATATGTGTATGCATATGTATGTACATATGTTTACACACACACACACACACACACACACACACACACACACACACACACACACACACACACACACATACATATATATATATATATATATATATATATATATATATATATATATATATATATATATATATATATATATGATGTCCTTGATAGTGGCAGCTTTAATAATAACACAAGGGGTGGTAGGCATTGGTGAGAATGGGAGGGGGAGGGGGGGGGGAGGGGGAGGGAGGGCAGGGAAGCGTGTACTTGCCTAACGAACCAGAATGAAGTGCGGGGGAAACCCTCGGCCAGTTTGCACGTTGATCTTGATCAGTTTCACGTGGATCATCATTTGTTTATCCATTGGTGTTTATACAAATGTTTGTAAATATATTTGTGTATGTGTGTTTATATATACATACATACATACAGTATATATATATATATATATATATATATATATATATATATATATATATATATATTTTTTTTTTTTTTTTTTTTTTTTTTTTTTTTTTTTTTTTTTTTTTTTGTATATATGTGTGTATATATATAAATTCCGTCTACCTCCCTACTCCCTTACCCTCTTTCGTTCTCTCCTTATCCTCGTATCTCTTCTCTTTCCTTCCATCTCTCCTTCCTTTAAGTCCCCCCTCCCCCCTTTATCCGCCTCTCTATCACTCCCCTCCCCCCTTCCCATTAATCGCACTGTGACCTCGCTTAACCCAACAGCCTGACCTTGACCTCGGCTAATGGCACCGGGACAAGACATCATTAAGGGTCATAATCAAGGGCTACAAGTAATACTAATGACCTTACATCCATCTCGACTGCACTCCTTAACCTTTGACCTCTCGCGCTGCACGTCTTTTGGGCCGTGGAGGTTGAAGGAGGGGGGAGGGGGAGGGGTTGAGGGCACGTAATGGAAGGGAGGGGGGAGGGGGGAAGGGAGGGAGCGGGAGGGGAT